GGGCAAGCAGAAAATTCTACTTGACCGCGGCTGGGATTCGAACCCGCGACCTTCGTATTTACACGTTACACGAGTGGAATCGTAAACGTGTAACATTTTCGTATAACGTTACACGAGTGGAATCGTAAACGTGGGAAACCACAACATTCACATACAACATTGCCAGACTAATAGCTGGCTTTACGCATTGAAGGACTAACCTTCGAAATGCAACTAACATCATAACTTAACAAGTCGTTCTCAGCTTGACCTTGTAGCTCAGACGGTAGAGCATCGAAATACGAAGGTCGCGTTCTGGAAATACGAAGGTCGATATCTATATATAGTTCTGGATATACGAAGGTCGATATATATATATATATATATATATATATATATATATATATATATATATATATATATATATATATATATATATATATATATATATATATATATGATATTTTTGTAAAAGTTTGTAACTGATCTATATAATACTTACCTTTTAACTGTATAAACCAGAAAATTTTGGAGGTATGTATGTCAAAAATATGTTATGTACATGTTTTAAATGTTTTTATAGATTAGTTCCTCGTTGAGTAATGGTACTCATGCATGATGAGCCAACGACATGAGAAATATTTAGCTTAGTTAAAAATGTTGTTGCCAACGTGGCGTGGAAGAAAGAATTAGCCCATCCATGGTTTGAGCACAGACGTTTGGGCTATTTTTATTTTGTGTTCAGAAATCACTCAAGATCTCCCCCGCCCCGCTACACTAGTTACTGCATGATTACAGTCGCCCAGACATTCACTCTCGTATTCAATAAGCCTTTCTCACGAAGGCCACAATCCGCCATTTTTGGGGTACTGTCTGCCCTCGTGAAAGATTCTAGACAATTCAAACCATGTGAAAAGCGACTTTTAAAAGTTGTAACTGGAAATTTACCATTACGCATTATACTAAATGGTACAGTAAAAAGTTGTATTTCGTAGTGCGGAGACTCTCAAACGTGGGAGAGGCCGTACCCCCAAAATGGCAGAAATATCGGCCGTGTCCCTTCTCGGCTTCTCAGTAATTATATGTACATACTATACTAATTCGTCCTCTTTATATTTCTACTTTGGATGTCAATTACGACTTTTTGATTGGAGTTCTGTTCATTTTGTCAGTTAAAAACAAAACTTGGTATCTTGATACAAAAATGTTACGCCGTAATTATGCGATCACAGTTGCTCCTAAATCGGCATAAACTTTCATTCGTTGCTCACGATGAAACCTAAGTGCCATAGCTTTACAAATGCTGTTGCAATAGTGGGTACGGAAGAATTTATACATTCCTTCACGACCTAAATTTGTTTTCCCAAATCTTCGAACTGAGCCGCAATGTATTGCGGGATCCGTTAAGACATATCGCACCTCACCAGAGCTTTCTTCTTTTTTCACGCCTTGAAGATCAACAACCATAAGATACCTTCCAGTGGCCCAGTACGTCCAATGACTGAATGCGTTGAGTGTGGCTGTGTACGCGGTTTCGTTCACGAATCCAGCATTGTTGTTGAACTTGACATATTTTCCGGGGATGTATCTCTCCATAGAAAAATGGTTTTGTTTTTCACCGTCCGTGATGGTAACTGTGCACACATCTGCAAAGTCGACATCCCTTGCTCCTGCTGGTTTGATGTTGTTGAATTTATTGGCCAAAGCTATTGCAACCGATTGAATTTCCATCTGCTCTTTGTACAAATTGAGTCTGTTTTCGCCAGTGTATAAAAACTGCTTCAAGGCAAGTATATTACCTTTCTCTTCACCGGATTCACCATCAGTGCAATCTATGCCATAGTAAACAATTCTTGAAGCTCCTTTTCCAAATGGATCAGTAGCAATCTTTATAGAGCGCTTTGGCTCGCAGAGACCTCCAAAGGCTTTTGAATCTTACTGAGGTCAGACGGAATCTTGTTTTTCCAGACCGTGACAATTTTAATCCCTAGCACACTCCAATCAGGTTGTACGGAAACTAATTTGTAGGACACGAGTCTCCTTTCACATCTCCTCTCACCACCTCTTCTAGAACGTCATGTTCGTAGATATTCACCGAAGCAGAGATAGAACCGGCAACAGCGTCCACAAGACCATCCACGGAAGCTAGATCAATTGGGTTGATCTTCATAATGCTCTGCAAAACTTGTACCATCAAATCGGTTCCATTTCCAAGTTTGGCAAACCAGTAGATAATATTCAGCTCTTCCAGTTTCGACAACAAATCTTCAATTTGCAGTCCGCGTGGGTCCCCGTTTGGATAATCGTCAGCGACACTAGGATCGTGGAAACGCGTCCCGTGGCAAGGGCTGTCTGCGATATGGAACAAGATTCGTGTTTGTTTACTCCAAGAAAGTTTGGCAACTTCTTCAATGCCACCAAAAACATCTTCAGGCTCATCTCCGCCACCTGTGGCTGCGACAGATCCCATAAAACTTTGAAATTCCAAGATTGATGTTGTGAAATCCAAGATAACTATCCTGGCGGCGTCGTCACAATGGTCACGATAACCAACGAAGGCGACAGAGAAATTCAAATCCGGAAGCATTTTCTTCGATTTTTCAACGATATTCTGAATCTGTTCTTTCACTCCTTGAATGTACGATGCCATGCTTCCAGTGCAATCAACGAGAAAACACAAGTCAACTGCTTGTGCAGCAGCCATCAACTGAAGTATACGGTTGATTTCTCTTCTCCTCGCTTCTTCCGCTCGTATTTCCGTTTCTAGTTCGGCAACTTTTGTTTTCGTGCGAACTTTGGTTGCAGATTCTTCCAACTTAGCCTTAACCTTTTCCAATTCTTCACACTTATCTCTTGTTCGTACTCCCGTAGCAGCTTCCTTCAATTCTTCCACTTCTTTTTTCAATTCTTCACACTTGTGTCTTGTTCGTACTCCCGTAGCAGCTTCTTTCAATCCTTCCACTTCTTTTTTCAATTCTTCACACTTATGTCTTGTTCGTACTCCCGTAGCAGCTTCCTTCAATTCTTCCACTTCTTTTTTCAACTTTTGAAATTCTTCTATTTCTCTTGTTGTGGTTTCATTCTTTTCTTTCTTCAACCTTTCGATTTCACTTTTCAACTGTTCACGTTCTTTTCTAGCTTTTTCTCTTTTTGCGGTCTCCTCTTTTGCTTCCTTCAGTTCAGATAATTCACGTCTCAATTTCTGAATAATTTCTTCTTGTTCTTTTTGCTTCGTGTCTTGCAGTTCCTTTCTCGATTTGATTAATACTTCCTGCATTCGTTCGTCAGCTTCAGAAGCTACCGTTTTCGAGCATTCTGATGTATATTTATGATCATTATCTTGTGTTAATGTCCGTCCGTCCACTGCATCTTCTTTGGTCTTCGCTATTTCTCTTCTCACCCCTTCGCATTCTTCTCTGATTCTTTGTCTTCTTGTGTTTTCTTTTTTTGCTTTCTCCATGGCGAGTTCCAATTTCAACTTTTGTAGCATTTCTTGATCATCTTTGTCACCAGTTGCGGAATCTTGCAGCTTCGAAAGTTCCATTTCCTGTAATTTCAGTTGCAATAGTTCCATTTTTATTTCTTCTAAATTATCGGCAGTTATCGAGTCGTCCGTCATTGCCGAATTGTTTTTGAATTCGTAATTCTCTTCTTGGGTTGTGGTTGCAGTTCCATCGTCTTCTAACATTTCTTGGATCACAGTTGATTCTTCGACCTCTACTTTTAGATCTGCTCTTTCAATCGTAGCGTTGTCGGACATGTTATCTAACCGTGTTTTCAACGTATTTTTAAGCTGATTTCTAAATAAAAATTATAAATGAAAATTAATAGAAAGACGAAAGAAGACAAAAATGTATTTTTATTTTGTCTAGAATTTTTTAATCACTATTATTTTATAATCTAATCCAAACAAAACATTAAAACGTAAAGGCTCGTTTACACTTGCAATTTTTGCTGCGATTTTATTTTCTTCTTCTGATGGATGTGAACGAGTGGGTGAATTATGAATGTTCAGGCGAGGGTACATATACACAGAATATTCATAATTCATCTATACTTTGGCAATTGATACACCAGGCGGAAATCTTAGTTTAAAGAAAAAGAGCAGAGCCCATGCAGCAAATAACTTTAAAACCAAACATAATAAAAGTAAAAAAATTATTAGCTAACGTTTCGTTGTTTACAATACAACATCTTAGAGCAATCTAAATGAATTTACAGGGTATGGTATATATATTTACAAAATAATGGTTTAATATTACAAAAACGGTTACATAGTTTGAAAGAACAAATTAATAGAAAGAAAGGAAAACATCTTATCAGTAACTAGTTAATAAGTAAAGATTAATGTAGGCCTATGGTTAGTATAGTTAAGGTTAATATTACATAACTAAAATAACTCAAGAGGGGTGGATCTAATATTAGCATTAAGGACAGGGTTAAGTTGAGATATTAATAGGCTTTCACGGATAAGAAGATCCCAATCCTGATGATAGGATTTTGAAATCAGAAGCGGAGACTGGATGTTTGTGCATGTGTTTGTGAGCGAGTATACTAGACATGGTTGAGATAGAGCGTTCTTTTCCAGTCAAAGGCGAGACACCCATATGCTCCGAGATACGTGTGTGAATGTGTCGGCGTGTCTGGCCAACATACAATGCGCTACAGCAATGACACGTGAACTGATACACAACATGTGATCTCAGGGCAATGGGAATCCTGTCTTTAAATGGAAAGAAACTAGAAAGGCGACAAGTGGGACGGAAAACAACACGTATGGAAATATGTGGATAAGCAGAAGCAAGAACTTTACTAAGTTGTGAACGGATATGTAGACCATGATGTCCAGTGAAAGGAAGGCTAAAGTAAACAATTTTCTTGGAACATGTATGGACCTTGTCCTTGGTGTTGTAAATCCTGTCAAGAAATGTCTTTATGCAACTATCTATAAGTACTTTAGAATAACCATTGGAAGAAAAGGTTTTTTTAAAATTTTCCATTTCAGACTGAAAATTTAGATATGTAAGAAGAACAAATATTGAAATATCGGGATATAAGAGAGAAAAGGAGACCTTTTTTGTACATCATTGGAATAAAGCTATCAAAGTTTGTGAATAAACCAGTTGAAGTGCATTTGTGATGGACTGAGGTCGTGAATGAGCCAGTGGCGTGCTGGGTACTATTTTTCTGGGGGGGCCAGTGGGCTATCAACCAATATGCGCCCCTATAATGTGACGCTTGATAAACGAGGGCCGAAGGCACAAGCCGAGCGCCGCAGGTGCGAGGTGTTCCTAGGGGGGTCCGGGGGCATGCCCCCCCCGGAAAATTTTTAAATTTAGAGTCTCTGAAATGCCATTTCCTGGACTTTGGGGGGAAGATTTGACAGAAATCTGATGGTCAGGAAACGAGATTATAACGAGTCGAAATTTGCAATTTGGTTACAATTTCCGTAGAGGAACTTAAATTGGTACGGTATCAGTTTTACTATAAATCTTTATTTTAGATTAATTGTGGAGGAATAAAGTCACTCGTTGAGTATATTTGTATAAAATATTTTGATTTATAATAAACGCCGATCTCACTAATAACTTGTAATGTTTT